TGTGTTGAAATATTTAGACCTCCTGTTGCGAGCTATCTGCCATGTCAGAGCCGGTCGATTTAACCCCGGAAAAAGTTAGTTTTCTGAATTTTAGGTGAAGGTTTCTTTACCTTTGATTTGCTGTATTGTCTATAACAGTCTCAACTGTTTTAATTTTTATTTCAGAATGGTGGCGTGTTGAAAGTGATTAAAAAGGAAGGAACGGGTAACGCACATCCTGTAGCCGGCAGCACAGTTTTAGTACATTATACAGGAACGCTACAGAATGGTGAAAAATTTGATTCTAGCAGGGATCGTAATGAACCCTTCAAATTCACTTTGGGACGTTCGCAGGTATTTCCGGACGCTTTGTATTCATCGCCTTATATTACACTGTTTTATCTTCTGAATGTTCTCAACAGCGATATTTGAATTATGAAGGTACCTTACTCCCTTTATCAAACTAATTTCTTGCATACATCAACGTGGTTTTATTTGAGGTTATCAAAGGATGGGATTTGGGAGTAGCAACGATGAAAAAAGGTGAAATATGCGACTTGACATGTCGGGCAGATTATGCATATGGTGAAGCCGGTAGTCCACCGAAAATTCCTGGTGGTGCTACTTTAAATTTCGAGGTTTGTGGTTGTTAGCCCTAGAGTTTATAGGAGCTGTGGGTAGTGTCCCAGATGCTAATAGGTTTCTCCCGTTATTTCTAGAAGTTTTTAGGTTGAATTAATCCGGTGGGAAGGTGAGGACATTTCTCCAGATCGGGACGGTTCGATCACTAGGACTGTTATAGTTGAAGGCACAAAGTATCAGTCACCATCTGAAACATCACCTGTGACAGGTTTTTTCTTTATTTTGTTGTATTTTCACGGAGAATCGTATATTAGGTCTGTATCGTCTGATTATGGGATTGGTTTTGCTGCACATGTTTTGCATTTACTCAGTACTCTTAATTTTTCAGTCCATGTTGTGGGCACTTACAATGATGTTGAGTTCTACAACAAGGATGTTACGTTTGTAATCGGCGAAGGATCTGAGGTTTATGGCTTTTTCCTTTTTTTACCTTGGAAGTAGTTATGCATAATTTCTCAAGCAGTTTGTGCCAGTGGACGCTTTGTAATAAGGACTTCAAAACACAAGGTTCAATTTTTGCTGTTGTGCAGTTCTTGCACCGTTTAGGTTGGGCTCCCAGAAGGTGTTGACAGGGCTTTGCGTCGTTTCAATAAGGGAGAGAAATCAGTAATTCATTTGAAAGGAGCCAGATTCACCTACGGTAATGACGCACCAAAGGAGTATAATCTGCCTCCATTTGCGGAACTAGACTTTACCATATTTTTAAAAGATTTTGAAAAGGTATTTTTTGCATGCATTTCTCATTTGATTATTTCTTTCATATTTCAAGAGTTTATCTGTTTTTTTGTATAAATTTTTCCTCTAGGTACTGACAAATTAGATATTCTGTGTTTGAAATAGTCAGTAATAGCATTGTAGCGCTACGTCGAGAGTCAAAAAATCAGCGTTTGTTGTCAAGAAGTCATTTGACTTCTTGTATCTATACGATTTTAGATTACGTAGTATGTTGTAGGCTAAGTAGTATTTAATTATTGCCTATTTTGCTGGAAGTTATTATGATGGGTTTATAGCTGTTTCAATATTAGTTCGGTTTTCCGGTTGTTGACACTTATTTTTCTGTAATGCGGACGAGTGAGTTGCCGTTATTTCTTATGGCAGTGAACGATTTCAAATCCTTTATTCCTTTTTTTTTTCTGCAAAATATGTTTTAGTTTATAACAGTGCCATTGTGGATGGGAGATTCCCCTCCTTTACGTAGATGCAGTGTTCTTAGTTAAGAAAAACGAATACGTCAATTAGATGCTTCGCTTTTACTGTTTCCCGCTAGTTTTTTTTTACAATTTCACAATTGGGATTTTTGAGTGCGTTTTTTTAGAACGCTCATAAATCAGGCAGTGGTTGCAGGCGCTACTGCAGAGTACTTAAATGTTTATTTTAGTTGAAATTTGGAACAGTTACTCGAAAAGTACCTAGTCTCTTATTTTATTTGTAAACTTCTCTACAGTATATTCAGTGTGTTATACATTTTTTTTTTTTTTAAATTCTCTTCGTTCGCTCATTATTACGGCTGTATTTGTACAGACGGATAAATGCGACCATTTTTTTCCTTGTTTCTCTTGCCCTTATGTATGCCGCTAAACTATCTTCATTTAAGAGATTATTTAAAGTTTTACTTTAGTGTTTTCATAATTTTTATGAGTAATTTTTGAATGGCTTCGAACTGTTCGCTTAAGGATCTGGTTGAATTGAGGGATGCTGCAGGTGTTTTCTTTTTTGAAGTAAAAACGCTTGACGACTTTTCAAGTTTTTTTTTATTTTTTGGCATAGAATCTAGGAATGTTGAAGGATAGGTTTAGGTTTTTTTGACATGGGAGGAGGAGCTTCAACTTTTGTTGTCCTAAACTTGAAGAGAATGCAGTGTGTGATTTTACTTATAATTATAATCTTTGTTGCTAGGGAGTTGGAAATCGTTTGTTTTTCATTCTATCGATATTTCTAGGTGAAAGCATCTTGGGAGTTAACTGGAGATGAAAAATTGGTAGCAGCTGAGGAAGCGAAATCACGTGGTACAATGTTCCTGCAACAGGGTAAATTTAAATTGGCAATTGCGAAGTATGCACGGGTAAAAGACCTTTTGGAATATGAAAAGTCGTTAGAAGGTGATAAGAAGGAAAAGCGAGATGCGTTGATATTAGCTGGATACCTCAACACGTAAGCAACACAGGGATTAATTTATCATTTGATTACTAAGCAAAGTGTTGCTTTTACATTTTTTGTTGGTGTTTCCACTTTCTTCACAACTTCTGCAATTTTTTTGTGATGAAGTTGCAGTTTGTGTATTGCTGCTTCATTATACCTATCATTTTAGTGCGTTAGCTTACTTGAAAATTGGCGAGACTGTAGAATGTATAAAAAGCTGTGACAAGGCTTTAGAGATTTCTGCGACATCAGTCAAAGCTCTCTACCGGAAGGCACAGGTTTGTGCTTCTTGGTGATTGCTTAGCACTTCTAGCTCTTGTTATTCGCTCGGACGTTTAAAACTTATTATTTTAGTACTTATTATCCGTTTTCAGGCATTGCAACAACAAAATGATGTTGAAGAAGCTATTCCTGTCTACAAAAAGGTTTTGGAAATAGAACCTTCGAATAAGGTACTTTTTATGAGTCTAAATCAGTGCAATGTTTTTGAGCTTAGGGTTTTGGGTTGCAGGTTATCTGCAACTTGGACGTGTTATTTGTATAAAAATACTTTTGTTATTTTTACTACGCATTGTTTAACAATCATATGAGCTTTTCTAGTTTTAGGCTGCTGTACAGCAAATAGCTGTTTGCAAACAAGCCTTGCAGAAGATCCGTGAGAAAGAAAAGAGGCGGTTTAAGGGAATGTTTGAGCGTTTTGCAGCCAAACAAGAAGAGGTCTACTTCGAGTTTTTTTATTTCTTGTAAATTTATACAAGTTGGTTTTGTTGTTCTCACAGTTTACAGCACAGCTGCTTTTTTGTTTTCCAGGATTTTTCATATTTATTGAATGTTTTTGGCTTTAGCTTTTAGGAGTAGAATGGTTTTTTGTTGTTCTTGCTGGAAATTTTAATACCCATCTTGTTTTTTCAGGAGATGGCGAATGGCGATAAGCCAACCTCTGAAACGAAAAAGGAGGAGAAAATGGAAGTGAGTGAGCCAGAACCGGTTCCTGAAGTGGCTAGTTGAATGCATTAGGGCCTTCAAACGTTATTGTTTTGAACGATTCTCTTACATTTAATGGTCTCGGAACAGTGGTAATGTTCCTTTGCACAACGTGTTGACTATATGTTTTGTGTTTACATTTGTTACATCGCTGTTATTAATAAATTATTTGTTATGTTGTTTTGCCTGGTTACCAATTCATCGTACTGTTGGTAGAGTGTAACCTAAAATTATCATATTTTTGTTCATCACCAATCAAGAAGAGCGTAGGGATGTTAGTTTGATTCTATCTATTGAGGGGGCAATCTTATGAAGGTTAGTACGTAATGTTTGTCTATGAATTGCTCCTCGGTTTCTTAAACAGCTATTTCGGGTCTAGACTCCCTCTGATTTCTGCATGGTTAAAAACGTTTGGTACACGGGAGGTGCGGTGGTTGTGGTTTGTTGTTGGTGAGCTCAGGTGAGTCGGGTTGTGGTGTTGGTGGTCGCGAATGCGGTTTTGCAAGGTCTGGAGGGGTGAGGTAGTTTATCTGGTATTTCCCTTTATTACTGGAGATTGGGTATTTTTGGGGATATGCACTGGTTACAGCTTTCTAGGGGCTTGAGGGAGCCTTTGAAAAACTGGTGAGGCGTCAAGATTAAAGCGTGGTGAGCTGTAGTTTGGTGAGTGTCGTTGTTACGTGTGTTTTTGAAATTGCAGAGCGTTATACAGGACATGTGTCGAAAATAAAGGGATAGAGTTTAGGTGCAGGGGTGTGCTTTCTGTCATTGGGAGAACCGTCCGACTGTGAGAGTTTAGGTTCTTATTCGGTATTGCACAGTGTTGTTTATTTATTTATTTTTTGTTAAATGCAGAGAAAGTTTGTAAGGTTTTTTATTCTTGTTGAACGTTTGGTTGAGGTTGTTGAAAGTAGTCGCATTTCGTTGAAGAAACA